CCCGCAGGGCTCCCCCCACGCCATCCCTGCAGGGGGGTTGGGTCACCCCTGTGGCATGAGGGGAGGATCCCTCGGGGGCAGCTGCTCTGGGTAGAGCTATGGTTGCTCCGCACCTGCCGCTCCCTCCCCCGCCCAGCGCTTGTGGCGCCCGGCGCGGCTCCCGCTTCCTTGCCATCCATGGACCGACGCTCGTTTTCATCTCGCCCGCAGGGGGCGGGATCTCCAGCTATGTCAAGGACCCCTCGGACGCCGGCAAGAGTCTGGAGCCATGTCTCAGGCAGGCCATGAGCGACGTCCCCAGGGAGAGGCATCGGCTCACCCCTCTCTACCTGGGAGCCACAGCTGGCATGCGGCTGCTGAAGTGAGTTTCGCCATCGACCCCTGTCCCCGGATGCTCTTGGGTTCCCCGCCCAGCTGTGCAGCCCTGGGCTGGGCTGGGAAATGGGAATTGTCACCGTCTGCAACCCACCATCCTGCTGGGCCCCAGGGGGCAGGGAGCCCCCCCGGACACAGAGGGAATCCCTGGCCCAAGAAGACGTTTTTCCTGACCCGGAAAATTACAAGCTGGCCCTGGATCCTTTTCAGACCCTGCGCAGTGCGCGCCCCGCGCCAGTACGGGCCAGCCCCGCAGGGGGAGATCTGTTGCCTTCTTGGCCGGGCAGGTGGCGTGGACAGCAGGCTCGACTGGCCCCCTGCTGCAAGGGGAAGCTGGTAGAGCAGCCAGCGCCCCTTCCCCAGAGTCCCTGCCCCAGCCAGACCCATGCAGGGAAGGGAAGGCTCTTCTCCGGCGCACGGAGGGAATCCCTGGCCCAAGGAGACATTTTTCCTGACCCGGAAAGTTACAAGCTGGCCCTGCCGTGGTGCGGGGGCTGATCATAAACGTACCCCTGGGCCTTCTGTCCAGGCAGGTGGGATCCTTTTCAGACCCTGCGCAGTGCGCGCCCCGCGCCAATACGGGCCAGCCCCGCAGGGGGAAGATCTGTTGCCTTCTTGGCCGGGCAGGTGGCGTGGACAGCAGGCTCGACTGGCCCCAGGGGAAGCTGGTAGAGCAGCCAGCGCCCCTTCCCCAGAGTCCCTGCCCCAGCCAGACCCATGCAGGGAAGGGAAGGCTCTTCTCCGGCCAGGGCTGGCAGGGTGTCCGAGTCAGCAATGCCCAGGGGCTCAGACCCGGCCGGCGAGCAGGGCAGACCCAGGCTGGGGCCAGTCTGAGGTGGGCAGCGGGGGAGCTAGTGCCTGGCGCCAGCTGTGGTCTGGCTGGAGACATGAGATTTTCTGGCTCCGGCTCTGCGTGGAAAGTAGAGACCCTGAGTTGTGTGCCCAGCTCAGCCCTGCGTGGAGTCCCCGTACACCCATGCTGTGGCACCTGCATTGTGGGAGGGGCTCAGGAAGCCTGGGATTGCTGAAGGGGTATTTCCTTCAATCCCCCTCGCTGGCACACGTTGGCATTAGTGGCACCCCCGTGGGTCCCTCGGGGCCACCGCCGTGCCATGCGTGAGCCAGGCCATTGCCCTCGGAGGGAGGGGCAGAGCCGTCTCCTGCCCGTGCGCTGTGCTGGGTGGTTGGGGAGCCGACGTCCCTGGCGGCTGTTTGCCTCCTTTCTCCTGCAATGAAGCGTGGCTTTGTGTGTCCTGTAGCCGGACTGACCCCCAGGCCTCCGACCGCGTCCTCAGCGCAGTGACCTCGACGCTCAAGTCCTACCCCTTTGATTTCCGGGGAGCCAAAATCCTGTCTGGGGAAGACGAGGGGGTGTTCGGCTGGGTCACGGCTAACTATCTCCTGGAGAACTTCATCAAGGTAGTGATAGAAATGGAGCCGGGTTCGTCTGGTGTAGCTGAAACACAATGCAGGGGGCAGGGCAGAGCAGGCCATGTCCAGGGAGCTAGGTAGAAATACTGATGGCTCCCTCACCATGGCAGCAATGAAAACCAGGCTCCGTCCATTCTGGAGCCACGTTAGGGAGCAGGGGAGGGCTGCAGCCTGGGCTGTTGGCTCAGCCATGGAGGTGCCGTGCATGGAGCTGCTAGGAACCCGCTGGGAGCAAACTCCCCCTGCTCGCACGCGTGAAGCTCCTGCAGGCGGGAGCCAAACGTGCATGGGCAAGTCAGGCGGTGGCCTGCGTGGCCCTACACGGCTCGTGGGACTTGTCCCTGGGTGTGCAGAATACCCTGGGCCCCAGCCTGCAGCAGGACGAGCTCTTGGGGAGCGTGTGTCCAAGACACGCTATTGACCATGCACCAGCCCCCTCCTTCACCAGCAGGGACCCTCCTCCGCAAGGTCCGGGGCACTGCGGTAGCATGACGCTGAGCCCCTCCCGCCATGGAGGTCAGTGAGAGTGGAGGGTGCTTGGCACCTCATCAAGGTAGGCAGGGCAGGCCTGGCTTCCTAGGAGCATCCCTCCCAGTGCCCGTCCGGACGTGGATTCCCCTGCCACTCACCGACCAGCCAGCCTGCTCCACCCAGGAAGCTGGCTTAGCGGGGCAGAGACACAGCCCATCTCTCCAGGGCTGCGTCATCCTCTAGGGCCCAGGATTCTTTAGAAACAGCTGCCTTGTCCCTTGTTTAGGCAGGTGCTGCCAAGGGACATCTGCTTCGTGGGGACCACTCAACCAGAGATTTCAATGTACCCCTTCTCCTGCACTCACCCCAACGCCCCACCGAGACCACCTGAAACACTGGTGCTGTTAACGCTGCCCCTTGGGGTGGGCGTGGGGGACGCTGGTCCTTCTCCATAGCGCATCGGGAGAGCCGTGTGTTAGCCGGCTCTGAGAGAGCCAGCAGCTGCTAATGCTACTGGCCAACAGGCGCCTCATGGATCTGTGTGTCGGTCAGATACCATGGTGAGGGCCAACCATCTCAAAATGTAGAGCACAGCCTGGCTTTCCAGAGTCCTGATCTCCAGCCAGCCCCAAAGAGAGCAGTGGGCCCTGCCTCAGCTGTGAGCGCGAGGGGTTGGGGGTTCCAATGGAAGGGAGACCAAGGCCAGGGAGACGGCCAGCCAGGACAGCAGCCCCGGGAAGGAAGGAATTGGAGGGTTTCCTGCTCTCTGTGGTGGTTTGACCTTGGAATGCGCAGGCCGAGCTCAGCCCTGTGGGCGCAGGACTGGGCCCCGTGTGGGTCCAGGACTGGGCCCCACGTAGGTCGTCGGGCACGTTGTTCTGACGGCAGCGGGCGGGCGGGCGTTCGGTTCTGAGCCGGGCAGGGCGAGTGTCACGTCTCTGGCTGCGCTTCTGTCCCTCCCCCGCAGTACGGCTGGGTCGGGCAGTGGTTTCGGCCAAAGAAACCCACCTTGGGAGCCATGGACCTGGGAGGCGCCTCCACCCAGATCACCTTTGAGACCCAGGCGGAGATGAAGGACCCTGGGGCCGGGGTGACGCTGCGGCTCTACGGGCAGATGTACAAGGTGTACACCCACAGCTACCTGTGCTACGGCAGGGACCAGGTCCTCAGGAGGGTGCTCTCCAAGCTCATGAAGGTACCGAGGCCTAGCTCTGCGTGGAGCATTCCTCCTGCCTCCCTCCCCCGCCTCCAGGGCATGTCCCCAGCTCCAGCTCCAGGTCACCCCTGCCCCCACAGTCCCAGCCTGGAGAGGCAGTGGCGAGGGGCAGCTCGTTTCTGGGGAGCCAGGGCACCGGGGTGAGCCCAGCCTGTTACAACCCACGCAAAGGGGCCTAGAATTCCCGACTGGGCAGTGGGGGCTCAGCTGGGGGCACCCTACGGGCACTGCAGTGACACGTCTAGGGCGCCCCATAACAGGTGTGTACAACAGCGACTGGCCGGGCTTTCCCATCCCCACGGGAGCGCCACGTCCTCGAGCGACCGGAAACGCCTGCGGCTCTCCGATCCCCCCCCCACCCCCGGGATGGGGTCTGAGCTGCCACCACAGGGTTTGAACCCCGGGAATTTCACAGTTACCAGCCCTTTGAGTTCTCTGCCTTTGCCCCCGCGCACAACCCAAAACCTCGACTTGACCCTCTTTCGAAGCATCCCTGCTGGGCTGAGACCTGCCTGCAGCAGCCCCAGGAGAGCCAGAGGGGCTCAGGCAAACCCGGGCGCCTGTTCCCTGCCCACGTGTGTTTAACTCCTTGGCTGCTTTTGAACTGAACCCTCAGGGATGCCTGGTCCCCGCTCCCCTCTCCCTTTGCTGCTGCCACAGGCTGTGCGAGTCAGGAGTTACTCCCCCTCCTGGGCTAAGCTGCCTGTCCCTGCCCTGCGACATGCTTGGCTCACTGTGATACGCGGTGCGTAAACATGGGGCAGTGTTTCTGAATGCTAGTGCTTAGCTCCACCCGCTACACCACAGTGCCTATCCCCAGACTGCTTCTTGGCTGTGGTAACTGCAGACCAAGGCAGGCTTATGTGGTGCCTTTTCCATGTCCAACAGGCTGACGGTTACAAAGACAGGGTGACCAACCCCTGCTGGCCCAAAGGCTACCAAAGGAGCTTGCAGCTGCAAGAGGTCTACAACTCCCCCTGCACAGAAGAGAATCCAAAGAACTACAATCCCCAGCGGAACATCAGCGTGGTGGGGTCCGGGGATGCGGGGCAGTGCCGTTCGTACGTGTACAGTCTCTTCAACTTCTCCAGCTGCAGCTTCTCCAACTGCTCCTTCGACGGGGTTTTCCAGCCCCGCCTTTCGGGAAGCTTCATTGTAAGTGTCCCAAGGTTCCAGGTGTGGTGGGCAGCCGGCAGCCTCCCCCGTCTCCTACTGGTGCCACCGGGCAGCCCAGAGCCCTGGAGCCCGTCTGCTGCTGAATTCTGTGGGCGTGCTGTGCTTGTAAGAGGCACGTGGGAGCCTTTCCAGGGCTTCTACTGAAAGCTTTACTTCTACCGAAGGCTGGTACCGTTGCTTTTACTGCAAATACAATGTGAAAAGCAACACCCCCCTCTCTGCAGGGCCGGCCTGACCGTGAGGAGAACTGAGGCGGCCACTAGGACCCAGAGGGTAGAAAATGGTGTCTGCTGCTGGTGCAGACGTAGGTAGAAGAGCAGAGCCGTGAGAGGAGTAGAGCAGGACGGAGGCAGAATCGAGACCTTTCCAAGTTTTGGCCCAAGCGAGGAGGATGGGGGCATCATTTGAGCTCCCTGCCTCAGGTACCAAAATGTTGTGGGCCGGCCCAGCCTCTCTGCTGTCCACACACTCCCCCCTCTGCTGACGTCTGTACACATGCACAGTTACCCATCTGTCATGGCTGAAGTCAATCCTGTGGCCAGACTCGAGTGCGCAGCTGGGCTCTGTGGATCCTGAGGCGAGGCTCCGGGCAGCACTGAACCCAGAGTTCAACAGCAAAACCGCCCCGTTGGTTTACGTGTAAATTCCATTGGAGTCTGTGGGTTTCCAGCATCCTGCTCCAGTCATTTGTCCTAGGCGGGTGGATCTCCGGGTTTCCCACTGTCCTGTGATGGCTGTTGTCAGGCTTCCCATCCTTGACTCGTTTGTGTCTCTCTTGGGGGGTTCTCGGCCGGTCCCCAACTTCGCCAGTTCTGCTCATTGAATTCTAGCATCGAGCACAATGGAGACTTCCTCCTTGTCTTCAGCGTTCTCACTTCTTCACCATCTGGGCATTTGTGGGGGCTTCCGCCCTGACCCTCGGCTGCGCACCGTCCGCCGCTCACAGCAAACCGCTGACAGAGAACTTCCCGGTCAGCAATTCTGCCGAGCGTGGCAGCCAGGGCTCCACTTTAGAAAGTTACTAAAGGACACAGCTCAGGTTGCAACGCAGCCCTTCATTTGGGACGCGAAGAGGAAGCAAGACCTTAGAGCAAACATGGCCCGATGACGTCGGGCGGCCGGCAGGGTCCGCGAGGAGGCTACAGAACGTGCAGGCAAACCGTGCGCTAGGCCTGATTCCCATCCCTCTACTCCTATTCTTGTGCCAACACTGAAATGCTGCATTTTGGCCCCAGGGGCCCTTCTGGGCTGCAGCTGGGAATGAGGCTCTAAGGGGGAATGGGGCCCAGGGTAGTGCAGTGCAGTGGTTGGAGCAAAAGTGCCCCCCGGGGCCAGACGAATGCACCTGACCGCTGCGCCCACACTGGCTCGACGAGGCCTGCCTGGTCCCAGCTGGGCCTGAGGCTGTACTAGCGAGTGCTGCTTTCTCCCCGCAGGCCTTCTCTGCCTTCTTCTACACGGTGGATTTTCTGCAGACGGTGATGAAGAGAAGCGTGGCCACGCCAGCGGACCTGAGCGCTGCTGTCGACGCCGTGTGCAGTTCCCCCTGGGCCGAGGTGAGCGCCCCAGCCGATCTAGGCCCTAGAGATGTTAAATGTCGGTTAATTCCTATTGGCTA